TTGAGGATCTTCCCGGTGGTTTAAGTGTGTGCTGGCTTTTTCGATTTGATTGTTCCTTTTTGAGTTGTAATGCTGTCTTTGCTTGTAGATTTTGATATTTTTGCTTTCTAAGTTTTCCAAAAAAAAGTATAAATAATCAGCAACTATTATGTTCACAGGGGAATTGGCCGATGGTGCGGCTGAGCCAGAATGGACTCAACAGTCGGCCTATGTTTCCGTCCCTCATTTACTCTCCTGAAATAACTACTACTACTTTGTTATGTAAAATGCATAAGATGATTTTATACTATGATAACACCAAAATCTACCTTGCACCCATGAGTTTTTCTTGTAAATACGACGAGCTTAATATTCTTCCATGATGGCGTTTAGACTTTGCTTGAATTTAGGCTTAGGTCCATCTTGACTAAAGCATAAGTTACATTTATCTCCATAGAGATGGAAAAAAAGAAGTCGAGAAGTGAAGTTGAATCTGATTTAAAGTACTCGAACTCAATCGAATTCAGTTGTAGAGAAAAATTTGAACGAAGTTTAAAGATTAGATATTTCAGATATCCGATAATATTAAAATCGAACTAAAATCCAAAAAATTCGAAGTAAACTAAAACTATTAACTATTATTTCTTAAATTTGAGCAATCTAGATATTTTCAAATACTTTCAAGGATTTTGAGTATTTTTATATGGGGTTTTCGATTAATTTGAATAATTTTAAGTATTTTTAAATATTTTTGGATAGTTTCGATAGTTTTTTACGGGATTATTACTTTTGTGTAGTGTTCTAAAAAGCGTTCTAAGCGTTCGCATAGACGGCGTTAGGTCCCTATAGACACCCGGCCCTGGACAGATTTGTGTGAAACAATGGAGTAGGGCCCAAAATTTCACTAACTTTTTTAGGGCCCATATTTTTTTTTTATATATTAAGAGTTATGTGGGCCCATTTCAAAAGATAAAGCAATACATATCTTTTTGTATATCCTAATTTTAAAAAGAGAAATGGAGAAAAGTAAAAACA